ATACAGCATTTTCATAATAACTGCGGGTAATACAATTACTATGTTAATAATAATATAAATAAATTTTACAAACTTTACACAACCAGCCCTTATTGTTCGCTGTATTGTAAACATGTTCATTGATGCTAAATCCAGGTGCTTGCTCAGTTTGGTTAGTGCCACCAATGCTGCAGTACATTACACAGTCGTAGTCAATACTCACTCTTGCTGTTCTACTTTATACCTCTATGTATTGCAACAAAAAAATATTTAAATGATTGTAGAACTTGTACTGCATGCAATATGTCACAATGTGTTTGGTTTAAATTCTGTGATTTGGACGACTTATAAAACTGCTTAGTTTTAATGGTTTTTGGCTTTTGTAAGCCCGTTGTATGGTTTTCTCTGAATAGATGTAAAACTGAAATTAACTTGCGAAGATTTTCACAGAACGCTGACTCATTGCATTTATGTTTSCCGCCAAATTCATGAACCACAGAATCCACTCAGACACAGAAGATTTTTGTCTAACACATGGTTGTTTATCTCATTTGTCTCTTTCTGGCCTTGTGTTTGACTTGTAACTTGTCCAGAATGTTCCTTGCTCTCCAAGCAAAGACTGCTGGAGATGTATGTATGTATGTATGTATGTATGGATGGATGGATGGATGGATGGACGAATGGATGGATGGATGGATGGATGGATGGATGGATGGATGGATGGATGGATGGATGGATGGATGGATGAATGGATGAATGGATGGATGGATCAAAGGACCTCAGCATCTAAGGGATTAGGCAAAATGCACATTTTCAAGAAATATTTGTTTCGTTAATGACCTAAAACAGACTCTTTAAAGTCAGTAGAAAATTGATTCAGCGTCAGTTTTGTTTGCAAAGCAAGCATTTATTCTACATCACTGATAAGTACTTTTATTTGTGCTTTCGATTTTGGTGTCAGAAATCAAAGTAGACTCAATAATTGAGCATGACTGTTTAGCACTAATTTTCAGATTTTGCTAAAAGGAAGAGGAACAAACAAAATGGAACACAGTTAGACCAATTGGACATTTCTGCAAAACTCAAGCTAGTATCTCTCAGTTAACTTGTGTTCTAAAACACATTTATTTGATGCGGCTGAAAATCCCCTTGTTTAAACTGCTGTTCGGGATCAAAATTGGTTTTCATCTAAAATACGTATCTAATCAAAAAGTGCTTGTGCTGTGTGGGTGTAAAGTATTTTTTTCTGATGGACCAGAGTCTTTTGTTGTAGAACTTAGAAAATATGTCACAAAAATGATGTGACCACTGACCTCACTCTTTCAGGGGTGGAGATGTTCTCATTCTTGATAGAGAGGAACGTTGGTTAGAGAGAGATGTAAGGAAGCAATTTTTGTGAAGTAAAACCATCCATCTTTAAACAGGTGGGGAGGTCTCCGTGTCCATGTTGTCACCCTCTTACAACGCTATTATTGTGAGTATGGCTCAGCCCACATAGGAATCATCAGGGCCATAGCCATCGATTGTGAAGCTGATGATCCYCTTTTACATGTGAACAAACAGTTTTATTGTTCTTGTTAAACTTGTTTAAGTGATGTACACTGCAACAGGAGTTTCCCAATGACGGATCGGTGGTTAGCCCCAACGCCTCACAGCAAGAAGGTCCTGGGCTCAATCCCCRGTTCAGACTTGGGATCTTTCTGTGTGGAGTTTGCATGTTCTCCTTGTGCTACACCCAAAAACATGTACAGTACAACAGGTTGCCTTTATGGTTATGGTTATGGTATATGGGGTTGGGTGAAACCTATGTGAGCAGAGGCCTCATAAGTGGGCCCATTACTCTCTCCAAAAGAGACACTGAGTTTTTAATCAAACCTTCGCGTCCCTCGGAAGAAGGACACCAGGTTAGAAACACTCAGTGTTCTAAGCTTCTCGGGATCCATAAAAGGTTCTCCAAGAATTCTTTCCCTTCGACTACTCAGGGCCAAGCATTGGTCCAAGTAGTGCAAAGAGGTCTGTAATTCAATGCCACAGGCATCGCACAAACCATTTTCATGGAGTCCCATCACCATTTTATGGCAGTTGTGCAAGTTGTGCCCAGTTAGGACTCCAACCAAAAGTTTTCCTCGTCAGGGCAAGAAGGGCTCTTCCAAACCAAGGATTTGAGCCATTTATCAGTTCTCGTGCCTGTCTACAATCCGTCAGCTCGCTCCTGAGTGTTGATATCTGATCCAGGCCTGTAGGGCAGCCCTACAGATTGTTGTTGAAATGCCTATAGCAGGCTCTGGTCCTTTAAAGTGGGCTTGACTGCCAGCTCTTGCAAGGTGGTCAGCTCTGTCATTACCATAGATGCCAGTATGCACACAATTAACTCTCCCCAGTTGGTTGACTGCCTCGACACACTCCTAAGCCTGTAGTGACATAATGTGTGGCCCTTGGAGAGCTTTAATACCAGCTTGGCTATCTGTTATGATGAATATTTCCTTCTGCAAACACTGAAGTTCTTTGAGAGATGCCACACATTGGTGGATTGCATATATCTCAGCTTGAGATACCTTTACAAAACTACCTAGTGGGTAATTATACTCTCTCACTGTGGTTGTGCAAAATCAGCACCACTGCACCTGCTGACCACTTTATAAGGGATCTGTCTGTAAAACAGCCGAAATAATCAGGAGACAGGTCCACCATAGAGAAATCACTCCAGGCTGACCTATCTTCAATCTCTGTCTTAAAACTTGGTTCAAAATTGTGTTTCTTGACCATTCTGTCTCCGGRGCCTGCAATTACTGGAAAAACTGCCCAGTCCCAGATTCTAGAGTGCTGTGAGTCAGATAGGTTTTTCCACCTACCAGACTGGTGCAACCTTACTGTGCTGGATTCAGCCTCCCCTAAGATATGTAAATCTGGTGGAGCCAGGTCCAGTAGGACTTCCATGGCTGCCGTGGGTGTTGTTCTGATAGAACCTGAGATGCTCAGGCAAGCCACTTGTTGCACATGGGTGAGCATCACTCTTTCCACCCCAACTTGAACTCATACCCACCACACTAAAGCAGCATAATATAGCATGGGGCGGACTATGGCCATGTAGATCCATCTGATAACCTTTGGGGTAGCACCCCAACGATGGAGTGATTAGTGCAAACCTGTAGTGATCTGTGCAAACACAGCGATTCGTGCAAACATATAGTCATAAGCGCAAACGTGGTGAGTGAAGATTTGTGGGATTACTCAACGTTGTCTGTGTTATCGATGAATAGGATATCTGTGGTTCATGCAGT